TATATATATATATATATATATATATATATATATGTATGTATGTATGTGTGTGTGTGTGTGTGTATATATATATATATATATATGTATGTATGTATGTGTATATACACACACACACACACACACACACACACACACACACACACACACACACACACACACATACACACACACACACACACACACACACATATATATATATATATATATATATATATATATGTATGTATGTATATGTATATATATACATAAATATATATACATACATATACATATATATATTCATATATCTACATATATATGTGTGTGTCCGTGAATGTGAGAGTGAGTGAGTGTGTGTTCCTTCAAAATTATGATAAAAACTTTTTTTCTTTTTTTTTGCTATCGATACGGGAGCACTAGACCAAGGTCCAAAGAACCAAACCTTGACACTACACATCTCAGCTTTTGACTTTGACTCTGAATTACGGAGTCCAGCACCTTAAGACGACAGTTAGGTGTGCTTTTATTGAGTTCCGTTCCCTCTGACCTACTTGCCTGTGATTATGGGATTGCATAAGGCTGACATACTAATCAGAGGATGAGAAGGATAGAGAAAATCACACAAGGGAAAAATCATATAATTCTAAAAAGAGCAAAGAAAACAGATTGATAGAACAGAAACAGCCCAATGTGATATGTTTATCATGCGCACTTTCCTAATTTATTAGACACGCCTTTTAATCACTTATCATTCTTTTCTCAATATCACGTGTTTGACGTTCTACACTCTTTCAATTCTTGACACATTTACCCATAATCTGCATCTTTACGTCAAACACCTTGTTCAATTTGTGCTGCACGCTCTTAGCTACATCCACTTGCTTGGAATTCTGGACTCGCGTTTATCACCAATTTTATCATTCTCCGTATAAATCACCTGTCAGTTTATTATGCAAACAGTCTATCCATTTGATCTCAGGTCCCACGTCAAATAGTCTGTCTGAGTTGTCATAAGGACAAACGCTCAACAGACGACTAATCAACCACTTTAGCCGTCTGTTAGAGTCCAGTTCTATACATCTCTCCAGCCTACCATCACCCATTTTCTTCTCTTCCCTTGCCTGTTTTTTTTCCATTCATCACCCATTCGTTTGAGTTTATTTTTTGGTTCTGCTCTATATTCAGTAAGCTATGTCAAGTTGCTTCTTGTCCTGTTGTGTACCGCATTTTGTTTTGCGGCTATTGCTTGGTTGCTAGCTTAGAAAGCCCGCGATTTGAGGCAAAGAGCACCGGCCAAACATGGCACTTTTACATGTAGATTAATTTCTGACCAGCCCTAACACACGAGGACAGCCAGTTTACCTACGTGCCTTCTTTTTATATCACTTTGGCGCTTGCTAAACTTCAAGCCTTGGCCATTTGCTATCACCTAATCTCCCATGGATCAGATCATCAATCAACACACACTTGGAGCCCATTTCGTGACATGCAACACAAGTAAAGGAACACATGATACGATAGTCTTGAAGCAAGCATTGAAGCGGTGGCGTGCCCCCAGCCAGCCGAGGACCGAGAGGTCTTACCAAACAGTGACCAGGCTCGTTCTGAAGGGGTCATCCAAGGTCAGCCATAATCGTCATCTTGGTTCCCGTCCGGACGCTTGTTTTGGAACTAACGTTGTGCCCACGCTAAAACCGACGGAAATGTCGTTGACGTTTACAAAGAGGAGGTAAGGGTCATTACGATTAGCTGCTCCGACGACCCTGAGGAGAATCAGAAGCTTCGAGTCGCGGGGTAGTGTTGTTTAACAACGTTCCCCCGTATAACTTGGAGCCTGAGTGTTTTATTAAAGTCGACCAGTGCCTCAAATACTATCACTATGGTTACTACAAAAACACACACAAATTACGCTTCTGTAACTGTGCGCCACGTATAACAGACGGGTCTTGCTCTTTACAAAAACTAATGTTCGAATAAAAAAGCCTACGGCTTGAACTAGAGAAAACTCGTATATGCAGCAATAAAATCGCAAGCACACCACAACTATGCACATCGGTGCCCAATCCATACGCATCAACCCTCACTCCATCCATCTCCGGCAGAACACTCACAATCAACCATACTCACAAAAAACATGCCGACTCCATTACAAACCCTAAAATGTAATTTAACTTACAAATAAAAACGACTGTGGCCACAAACACCGAACAGCATACTATAGTATAAAAGATAAATGATTCTATAACACGCGCTTCAACAAGAAAAATGATAAAAATAAGATAGAACTACAAAACAAACGCCACCGCTCAATAATAAAAAAGCTCATTACGTCGTATCCATGGCACTAGTTTCCGTGTCTTCTGATGAGGAGGAGGCTGCTTCCCAGCCTCTGCCCTTCTTGAGGATGGCATCTCCCTCCTACCCGCAAGGGAAACGATAGGAGAGGAAGGTGATGGGAAGGCATTGGGAGTTGGACCGCCGATGCCCAGGACCTCCGCCGTTTGCCCTTGCAGGATTCCTTACCAGACTCTCAAAAGTCACCTCGAATCCGTTCCACTTCCGGGGACATTCCTGCCATATTAATCTATTATGTACGACTCCCTAAATCGAGAATATCTTAATGCAGTTCTTTTAAATTCCACCTCTATCATTCACTCCTGTAAAACCAAATGCTACGGCTATATGTCAAGTCAGCCAGAAGTCAGTTGAGGAAACTACCTTGCACCCACCCCAAATTATGGCAGTCCAAATAATTACCCAGCAAGATCCTTGTTTATATTACCTCTAGTTCAAATCCATCCTTAGCAGATTCCATTACTTTGATTACAATAATCTTCCACTCTTCTAGGTTAGGACTTAAATGCAGCTACCATCACACGACACCACCCGCGCCCAGTCTTATGACACACAGGTATTGCCCATCTTCAGCACAAGGAGCCCTTCGTTCACACTTACAGCCAGGTCCAAAGACCGCTGAAACCACATACAATCATATTAAAACAGCCTGCTAAGGACGATAAGCAAGAAAAACAGAAACTCATCTATCCTGAAATGGTACATTGAAGATAACGACTTTCTCTTCACAAAACCATTTGTGTTTCGGTCCCATTGCACGACGCAAAATTTCCAGTGTGCTGTACATAATACATAAAGGACATCCCAGGCCCAATATATCATGATTTATTTACACAACTGAATGTCGGTGAGGCTGCACACCCTTAGTAGGAAACGTTACTCTTACTGTTGTCTCCAAACGTATCTGTAACGATCGCAGCGACCCTTACTTAAACAGCTTCGATACACAACAAACACTACTTTGCGCCACACAATCTAGTTGTTTAATTAAGATTTGAGTGTCCCATCCGTTTAAACTCAGAGGCCCCATTGACCAATCTAACCTTACAATTGCTTCATCGATTTCGATGTGCATCGTCTCCGACTTTTTTGTCATTATCCAACTCCCACAAGGATACTGCTGTGCTTCCTCTGAATCTTAACAATGGCTGGTTTGTAAGCAGTTTGTTGGACGAAATTGTCAACCCAACAGGCCATCCATTTTTTTTTTTTTTTCACGAGCGTACGCTGGGGGGTGTGGGTTGAAATCTGGCTTATGTTTTTTAGATCTTCATAAAAGTGACGATCTAGATCATATTGGAGATTCTGTGGCAGCTCATCATTTGGTTGTTTTTGCTCTGTACACTCTAGACGCGGAGGGAGTCTTGGTTAAAAGAATACGATTTGTAAGTTTGTGAAAATGATGAAAATGGATGACCCCAAAGTAAAGGCTGTTTACTGTTTAGAAACCACTCTCGGAGATCCCCTCATACTTTTTTCTGTTCGTGAGATGACAGTCTTACAATATCCTTTTTGTTTGTTCCCTTTGATCGTTTATGTTTCCGTTAGACTTTCATTCTTCTACGTTCAGTCTGATTCACCATATCTTATTTATATCTTCGCCATAGCGTGCGACCTCCTTACCCACATCCTTCTGGTTCTGGATTTGCGATACAAGCCATCTACTGCCAGCACCCGTGCCGCGATCACGGGAAAGTCATGGCCAGAGATGGTGCCGGCGCCGCTACTCTCGAAAAACCTGCAGCCGATGAAAAATCCTCTGTAGACTGGGGCGAGAAGTCAGTCCCTCCGCTCCATTATCCGAGCTTCCTTTAAAAACAGTCTCTACAGAGCCGACCCAAGACGATGCTGTGAATTGGTAAAACTATTACCTAAACTCCTTTCACCCCATTCAAGACCTCTCTACATTTTTTCTTCCTACCCGTGTCGTTCTCTGACCTCGCCCACCGTTCCCTCTCCCTCCCATGGATCCCGTTGGCCATAAACTCCATTTCCCTGACCTCAGCCTCCCCTCAAGACTTCCTACTCCTCCAGAAGTGGCCAGAAAGGACAGGTGTGCCGTATGACTCACTACGGCTAGTGCACTCGCACTGTGTTACAAGCTATTGCTCATGTAGCACAGCCATTCAGTCGGAATGGATTGCGAATAGACCTGTTACAAACTTATTGTGCAATATCAGGTTCTCATGTATAACAGAGGTGGGTCAGAAAGAATACATCATGTATGGAATCTTTAATGTACTGGATTATTACGTAAAAATCCGCATAACATTTGTCCTCTTGATTACAGGTGACAGTGCTGTGTCGGACCCATTTCTCTGATCATGGAAGTTTTCCTTACCTCAGGGTGAGATACATATGCTTTGCAAATCTCATTGGCCTGAACTGATGGCCACATTGTTCTTTTATTGTTTATCTGTTGCTAAGAAATGTAAATTCAGTTACCTTTTTGCAGTAGAAAATTATTTCATTTGTAAAGCCGTAAGTAACTCACATTGATTGACATAACTCTGTCGTTGATAGGTCTTTCTGCATATATTCTTAAAGTCAATAGATAAGGGAAGCCAGGGGTACAAAATACAAAATCGGTACAAAATCGATCACTATTTGTAAAAACACAGGTAAGAATGACGTCACGTAGTAACGTCTGACGTCACACATGTAAACAAATCCCTCGTGCAGGAGGTACCGGCTCACCAAGAAAGTTATTATTCACTTTATTTCTGATTCTTGTGAGATGTGGGGAATTCTGTAAGGGTAAGAGAAATATCAGTATTGCAACGTGTAAGTGCTACTTGAATTATAGAAAGTGTTTTTATAATGCACAGTAGTTTCTGCACCGTTTATGGGCAAGGGTGTTAAATGAGAGGAGTAATGAGTAGCCTGCAGCTATGTAATCATTATATATCATGAATTGAATATGAAACTGCTGATAATGTGATGTCTCATAGCATAAAATAGGAATTGATGGACAATATGCAGTATAAGGTAGTGGCAAAGTTGAGTAATAAAACCTACAAGAAATGATGGAACAATACAAACCAAGGCAAAGTTCTTCTATGGCAATATGTGTGCAAATGCTTCCCAAGGGTGCTATACGTAGAAGAAAAGAGAAGATCCCTAATTTTGGCTAAGTCGCTCATCTTGTTTGCGTTGCGAGGGTGAATTCTAGACGCATATACTAGGCATATATATTACGACGGGGGTTCAGGGGGCGTAGCCCCATGGCTAGGCGCATATACTGCTACAGGGGTCCAGGAGGCAGAGCATCCTAGGGAATATATACCATGGTGTTGGGTTAGATTGGATGTTGGGTTAGGATGTTTTCTTTAACAACCACAGGGGTCCTGTTTTACCCCATAATTTCCCTGATATACTTCATGCCCTCCCCTGGTATCAGGACTATCAAATCAAGATTGTCGATGGAGATGGTGATCACATCTCCTGAACGATTCATTTGCACAAGTAACAATGCCTAGAATCGTTGAAAGCAGTGGATTTCATGCAGAATAAATTATTTCGAAAGTAACCCTCTACCCTCTTCAACATATTGACCGGGGGGGATCTTCTCTTTTCTTTTACGTATAGCACCCTTGGGAAGCATTTGCACACATACTGCCATAGAAGAACTTTGTCTTGGTTTGTGTTGTTCTTTCATTTCATGTAGGTTTTATTACCCAACTCTGCCACTACCTTATACTACATATTGACCGAATTGACTAATCTTCCAGAAGTTTCATGAGAATATTATTTAAACCGTAGCTTCACTTTGCGGTCTCATTTTGGTAATTTTTTTGTGTCACACAACCATCCAACCTTGCAATTATTTTTCCTTGTTTCAGTTGTTCACATTGTAAAATGCATCAGTCTGTTATTTTCCATCGTAGATGATGTAAAGGGAAGTATTGTTAACTGTTTGCAAAGGGACCACTTCCCTATTAGCCCAGCCACTCCTGGAGATCCACAATCATTGCCGTATAAATTAAAAACCTTCTTACGTTATTATTTGCCTTGGCAGATTATTTAGTGTTTCATAGAATGTAGGGCTGTGTAAAACTGAAACAATACCCTCTTTTCTACTATGTTCTCTAGTTGTAGCTTCCATCTTCTGGCCTTAACATATTTCACACTTAACTCATACTTATCTAAAAGTGATGGATTGCATTTGATGATATTCTTATTGAGGAGAAAAAGTTGCAATCATTGTTAAAAGAAATAAAGGGAAAAGATCTCAGAAAGCACCATTCACAGCCCAGTTGGTGCTCCCAAGTTTCAGATCTATCGTTCTTTTCATACAGAGGTGAAAACAGTGTTTGCCCAGGGAGGAGTGTTCCATCAACCCTCCCCTGAGAAAATTCTCAAAGGCAAACTCATGCAGGGCAACGTGTGATATGGAGTTTTAGGACTTATCTCTAGCAAGTGTGGTTGTATTGTAAAAAATTACTATGCATAGTTTACTATCCAGATATAATTTTGCTAGCATAAACCTTTTATATTGACAATATTGGCAACAATTAGACTGGTACAGCATCATTTTATCAGTTCATATTTTGTACTTTTTGATGTTGTTCAAAGCCATCATGTCTCCACCTTTTATATTTTGGTAAGAAGCAGCCTGTAGGACTTCCAGGTTGTTTGCCGTCAATTTGTTATGGTGGATGTTTGCTTGACATTGAAAGTGTCAAAGGTACAGTGAATCTTTTCCATCATCACAGCAACTGTCAATTGATAGTCCTCAGCTCTTATGGAAGTGTTATATAACCCCTCATGTAGGATGGTCATAGTGGGTGTAGCCTGTAGAAATTGCACATGATTCATTATTTGCATGAGGTCAGGGTCAAATGTGCACATCAGTACCCACATGGTAAAATGTATTTGGATATGATACATTGGCTATTTCTATTCCCTTTGCATATTGCAAATAAAAGCATTGCCTCATTAAAACCTTTTTCTACGTAGGGCAAAAATCAAATAATTTGTAACTCGTTCTCAAAAAAGCACGATTTCTCATGCAAACTGTGTTATGTGCCATAGAAAAAATATCTGATTCGTTATAATGTCGTCAAAATAATATTTTGCAAAAGTTTTGTTCTTTATTTTGTAATTCCATATATTCAGAAAATGGTTAATTAATGGTATTTTGAATTTTGACATTCACATGGTCAAATAACCATTGTAAATGTTGATAGGTTGAAATACTATGGATATTTTATTATTATATTTGATGATAATTTAGTAATGATAACGTACATGCAGTTTTTCTTTTATTGTATTATGATTAGACTACTGAAATGAGTAGTTTATTGTTGTTGTAGTTTTTTTTTTTTTTTTTTTTTTTTTTTTTTTTTTTTTTTTTTTTTTTTTTTGTTATTGTTATCATTATCATCATCATTACCTTTTTTTTTTGTTATCATTATCATGATTATTATTATTATTATTATTATTATTGTTATTGTTATCATTACTATGATTATTATTAAGGGTATTACTGTTACTATTGTTATTATGATTGATATCATAATTACTATCATTGTATTTTCTCTTCTGAAACCTATGCATAGAATTGGAGCTAATCACCAGAACTAAAAAAAAAAATAACTTTCAGAGTAGAGTAATTGATGATATTATTGTAGATTAAGAACAAAATATACAGTTATTATCCATGTGAAAATAAACCAGCCAGTGCAGATTATGAATGCTGAAACCATTCCAAAAAGCAACATCAAAATTATAAACATATGAGAAACATCTTAAATTTATCTATAGATAGTAGAGATTATCAGAATAAAAACATGTATTTGAATGTTTCAGGTACACATATTACAACCATGGGGATGTTTAGATCGTGCAACCACTTCAGCATCAGGCCTCTAATGACCTACACTCTTCAGAGGAAGTCTTTACTAACAAAGAATTCAGCAGGAAGTCTGAATGGTTTTGTCATTTCTAAGACATGGAGGTTACAAGAAGGAACAGGAAAAAATGTTCTGCCTCTGTCACAGTTTGCTTTTAGATATAATACCCCAACAGACCAAAGACATGGGTTACAGAAAAATTTCCAAATGATTCAAAGCTGCTTCTATCACAGCATATCAAGCAGCAGATACAGACAAGGAAGTCCCATTTCTCTAGTGAGTTCATCAAACTCCCTCCTTGGAAACAGCATTGACAGACGGAACTTTTCAACATCCTGGCTGGACAACTTGGCCCTTACTCAAGCAGGCTGGTTCAGGGCCCTAGCAGAATCAAGACTGGTTGAGAGCTTAATGGGGGGGCTGCAGGGAATACATGACTCTCTGAACCTGCCTTGGTGGGGAGCCATTATCATCTCTACAATACTGATGAGGGGAGTGTTAACCTTCCCTCTTGCAGTGTACCAGGCAAGTTGATTTTTTGTTTTTCTTTATTTTGTGTTGTATGAATTGAATGTTTATAAGGGTCATTTTAATAATCTTAGATTTGATTTATTTTTTCCGTATAGTAAAAATTATATTTTCACTTTTATTTATTCTATTTAAAAGTCTGTTCTGATGTTATAAAGTTTTTATCAGTTCATGTAGCCTATAGCTTATAAGCTAACTAGAAGTATATTGTTGTAACACAGCAAAGAATACATCTTCTTCCAATCTAGTTAATTTCAAGTTCTAAATTTATGAAAATAATATTGAATGTTATTTAAGGAAAAGATCTAAGTTGTTTTTAAGTCTAATGTGTAGCTATTATTTTGTATTTAAAAACAGAAAGTTAATCCTCACATATAACCATTCCCATTTTATCCTTTTTTTCAGAATTACATCTTGGCCAAAGTAGAAAACTTGAAACCTGAAATGGATAAGTTAGTTAAAGAATTGAAGAGAGAGACAGCCATTGCCATAAGAAAGTTTGGCTGGGACGAGAAGCATGCACGCATTATGTTCAATAGATCGGTAATTAACCCATAGTTTTGATAGTAATTACAATATGTAAGTGTTATACAAGTAGTGTATTTGTGTGAATAAGTTAGATGAATGTATTTCTGTAGACTGAAAGATATATAGTTGTATTATGTTTTTTTTTTACTCTGTCATATGTTTCAGGGTTAATGAAGAACTCATTGTTCTTACTTTACACAAAAGCACAGAATTGGAAATGAAAAGATATATTTTTTCTTTGAATACCATTCCAATAATTTTATGGTCAGTATTAAATATCTAGTTACCACAGCTATCAGTCATTGGGGCTATTGCCAAAGAGGATGCATTGCTACATCCAACCTTTATATCCAGTTGCAAGCTGACATCATATCCTGGTGAGCTGACAGGATGGGGCATAATCTGCCTAAACTTCTATGTAACAGGATTGATTGATTAGTTCAAGCTGTAACAAGTTATGAAGTTGTTTGTAAAGAAGACAACCAGGGGTCATCATTAGATAAGTGAACCAAGTATTCATATAGTTAATTGTCCTGCATTGAGGAAATGACAAATCCTAGGCCAGTCACAATGTAGCTGTTCATTTGACATATTGTCCTTCTAACTGTACCACAGAAGTCAAAACAAGGACATGTTTCAAAAAGGTGTCAGGACATGACTTAACCCATTCGCGCCGGGCGTCACGTATACGTGACGGGCCCACTGTGAGTTTACTTGTTTGATTGTTAACAAACATAGATGGCTCCACTTGCACTTGTACTGCCTGTGTCGTCTGTTTACCCTTTTCTTTAATTTACGAAATTATTTTGCGTTATCTTATATTGCTGTCACTAATGTTTATAACATTATAGTAATTATAATGTTTATAATACAAATAACCATCGATATTCATAGCACTAGTAAAAATACATTTTCCCGCCAAATGAAATCCGGTAAAGCAGAGCCATCTAGTGTAGAGAAATTTCATTAAAAAATATAAAAAATGAGCACAGCATTTCCCCCATTTTTTGTTCATTTTTACCCGGCGCGAATGGGTTAAAAGTTTCACTACTGTACACCAAAATCTACAGTGAATAATGCATAAACATACAAGCAATAGGTTAAGATAGTATACTTTGTATGGCACAAGCCTGGTTTATTTTACTTTTACTTCTTTCTTTTTCTAGGCCAAGAAAATGTGGAAAGATCTTATCATCAAGGAGAACTGTCATCCATTCAAGGCGAGCTTACTTCTTTGGGTCCAGATTCCACTGTGGGTCTCCATGAGTGTGTCATTCCGCAATATGGCCTCCATGATGCCACACCAGGATGCAGGTGCGACACTGGTGTTATTACTGGGTACCCTCCTGGTTTCTGAGGCTTCTTATTTCTGTGGTTATCTTCTATCTTTCTTCTTCACACACAGGTCTGTGTGTGTGTGTAATATATATATATATATATATATATATATATATATATATATATATATATATATATATATATATATATATATATGAATATATATGAATATATGAATATATATGAATATATATATATATATGAATATATATATATATATATGAATATATATATATATATATGAATATATATATATATATATGAATATATATATGAATATATATATGAATATATATATATATATATATATATATATATATATATATATATATATATGAATATATATATGAATATATATAAATATGTATGTA